TTCTCTTTTCTTTTTCTATTTAAATATAATTCACAATGAATTTAATTTTATTCGGCACGAAAATCAATCAGTGGAATCAATACTTAATGTGTTGTTCACTTACTCTGGCGAGTCAAACGAAATTACATTTGAACACTGGCGTATTCTTACTTTTTTAATCATTTGAACACTGGCGTATTCATTACTACTTTGAAAATTACATTTGAACACTGGCGTATTCATTACTTCACTTTGAAAATTACATTTGAACACTGGCGTATTCATTACTTTGACAAGTAAATAAACTAAGATTCCATGACGGAAACAATAATTAACTTTTCATAATCTTAATTAACTATTTTACGTTTCCAAGGTAAATTGAGCTCTCACCTGAGTTATTTTGGTTCGTAATTATATGCGGGGAAACTCCGATCCTGTCGACTGCGCCAGTAAAGATCCTTTCCTTATTTCAATATAATGAATATTGAACCTTGTAGGAAGAATAAAGCTAATTTTTCAGAATAAACAAAATACCTTTATTTAAATTTTAAAACAGAACCAAAAAAAATAAATACTGCAGCTCTAAACTCTCAAAATTTTAAACTCTTAACTACTGCAGTTAAAACTCTTACAACTATTAAAAAAAAAAAAACTCCCAATCTTAAACTCTCTCTAAAACAAATATATAAAAATCTTTCGAATCCTCTTCTTGTTGCCACACCGTAAAATGCAAGTTCTTGTCCTATTATTTATATTTCACGTTCTCTTTAAGTCACGATCTTCACAAGTCATGATCTTTACAAGTCACGATCTTTACACACAGAATGCATAATCGAAAGTTTAACAGTTAGACTCATGTGCTGCCTTTCGTTCTGCCTTCTCTTCATTCGTGTGCAAATTGATTTTAAGTTGTCGATTACGTGAATGGGCATATATCTGACCATTTGGGGGAGGGGGGAATATAAAGACGGGCGGAACATGTCTGTTTTCATTATTCATGAATAGTCATTAAAAACCTGTAATATTATATTTAGGTTGCCCACCAGTGACCAAGCGGCAAGTGGCTGAACTCTGGTAATCCAATAGCAGTTCAAGCCCTGGCAAATGAGCTAGCTTTTCCGTTCTTTTCTGTATGTGTAACTATTATCTATTATTATTTCATAAAGCGTTTCCACAAAAGTACTCCTCCTTTTGGGCAGACAGACCCGTGTGCTTTGCCGTAATCTTAATCTAAATAATATTTGAATGTTTTTGAAAAAAAATTCGGGATCACTAGGAATAAAAATTATTGAAGAATAAAGGTCTTCAATCCATGGTAGTACGTACAACCAAAATACATAAAAAATACAAGTATAAAACGAATGCTAAGAGAATATTGACGATTTTCTTAACCGATAGAATCTTGATTCTGGCGATCATTTGCCTATTTATATCTAGCTATCGAACCTCGATCGTCACTGAGCACCTTTAAAATTTCCCGACCTTCAGAGAGTCAGTACCGACCTCGTGGGGAACCTTTTTAGTTGATATCTTTGATTAATATTCAGCTATAGCTTGTTACCTATAGCACCTATAGATATTCACCTATAGCATTTTAAATAACCATTTGAGAATTATTTTACCTAAAGAAACTTTTGTCCAACTGAAAACATTGCTTTTAGGTGCACATATTGCTGTATTATTATTTAATTCAAGATATTTAGGACTTTTACCTATTTTCAGGTATATAGAAATAGAAATTAATCCCATTATGCTTGAAAACTACATGGAAATAGACAAACAGCGAATTCAGAACTCGAAACGCCAATCTTTACAAGCAACAAAGTTATGCAGAAAATGCTAAAGATTTGGGTCAAAGAAAATCAAAATTGCTTAAGAATTGGTAAAAGAGGGCCTAATATACAAATACGGCGAGTTTTAAAGGTCTAAAGTGGCTGCAAAATTTTTTGTGCTGTATTAAAATCTTTCAATGCACTTTCTGAGAAATTGTGTTTTTCGTTACTTTTGATTGTGATTACGTTAATTTCTCAAAATGTATTTAGAATATTGAAATGAAATTTTGCCAAAATGTTTTATTCATCTTTATCTGTGTTCTGTACTAAAATCTGACCTCTTTGTATTTATTTATTGATTTTATTGACAGTATTTTGAAGAAAAGAGGAGTTTTTTTTTTTGTTTTAATTTTGAGTTTTGTACCACGTTTTGTCATATATATATTTTTGTCATATATAATATTTCAAAAAATTTTTATAAGTACAGCAAATCTTTTGCTACAGAACACAGGTAAGTATGTTATTTATATACTGTGTAAAGATTGTTCAAGTATATTCATTAGAATCTATTATAGGAGATCTGGCGTAAGTGAAAATTTTCACTAAAATTTTATTAAATATTGTCTATATTTAAAAAATTAATGAAACGTTCTATAAAATCCCATTTAAATTCATAGTTTTATATCCCATCTTACTCAAAAACATGTGTGTTTAATTAAAATTTTATGTATTTAAAAAAAGTGCTTCGTATGTAGGCACATACCTTAACTGCAATAATTGTGGATGAAGTATCAGTTTATGTATTTAAGAAGTATACAGTACACAGTATTTAAGAAGTATCAATTATGTATGTTATAAACAATATTTAAAAATAATTTATCACTACTGAATGTATAAATTATTACAAACTGTTGGTTATAAACAGTACCTTTTTGACATTTATAAATAACTTGTCGCTACGCGGCCAGCCTTCGTCTGGCTCTTAAATGTACCAGAAAAATGTCTAAAGAGAATACCCAACATGAAATTTAAAAACGGCACAGAATTTTACTCTGTAGAACAGCTTTATCAAAATAAATAATGTGTACACCAAATGACTTCCTTGCACGGAATATTAAATTATACACATTTTTCTTACATTTCATATAAACTAATTGGATTGAATTAAAAATAATCGATTCGTCGATAACGCATAAAAGACAATAGAATAAATGCACTTTTTAAAATTCACTATATTTGTTTACCATTGCGACACTCTGGTGCTAGATTCACTTAACAGCGTTGCATTTCGTCCATATTATAACTCAGAATGCATATAAATTTGAATCATTTGAAGAATTATCTAATCGTTGCCACATGTTTTATTCAAATACTCGTATAAGAAAAAAGAAACTGAGCAGTAACAGAGTGGATATATATATATTATTTATATACTTTTAGTGCGGCCGATTGCAACCAAAATACGAGGTGTACATCTACATGTTACAGCAGTCCTACATACAAAATTTCAATGTTCTGAGGCTACTCGTGTTTGAGTTATGCGAGATACGTTCGTACGCACAGATGTCACGAAACATTCTCTTCAGAATTCATTTTAAATCAGTTTTATAATTTTTTTGGGGGAAAGGAGTCTTTTATTCTGTCCTTACATGCGAAATGTCACGGATAACATCATTAAATTGCATTGGATAGGGGTTAAAATCGGTATTTTCGTTGAAATATGATACCCGAAATTTTTCGCGATTACAATACTTCCTTTTTACTTCGTACAAGGAAGTAAAAAACACAAATTTCAATAAAAATGTATTATATATAAAAAAATTACAATGAAATAAGCAATGTACCTTAATAGAAATATTAATTATCCTAATAAATAAATTAACCAACTTCCTGTTACAAACTTAAAAACTCAAATGGTATAAAGGAAGTTAAGAATTTTGTTTCCTAAAAAATCATACAAAACGTTTTATATAATTAAACTTATACATAATTAAAACATAATATAAAAAAATTACAATGAAATAAGCTATAAATCTCATATTTTCAAGAGAAAACTGTCAGCAGTTAGCTGACAGTTCCAATGTCAACAGACAGTTCCAAAGCAATAAATGTAGAACTGTTGCCAAAATCACATTTCTAAATGAATGAAACTATCATCATAAAGCAATAATTAATCAAAATTGTGCTTTGTGGATGACATAATTCAAAGTATACAAACAATATTTTGCCATTAGCTAATACAGAGAGAGATGGGAAAAAAGAGGGAAATTCTTTCTTGTGTGCTTTGCGAGACACTTGCGCGTCAGAATAAGAAGATTGCGATGTGCGTGTTGCATGTCCAAAAATAAAAGAATATAAGCAGCATTTTATATCATATTTTTAACAGTCAGCAGTCCAGTGTACAAAGCATTGAATGAAAAATTGTTGCCAAAACCCCATTTCTAAAAGAATGAAACTATTCAAAATGCTGCGATTTCATCAAAAAAAAAAATAATAATAAATAAATAAATCTTATTCGAATTTTGAAAAATTCGCTGGGAGATGCACTGGCTCTTGTCTAGATACACCTACGTATCAAATTTCGTAGTCCTGGGTCTATTAGCTTACGCGCCACACGAACGAAAGACACCATACAGACAGACTCTTTTTTTTATTATATGTAGAGATAATCTGTTGCAACTTGAAAAAGGTATTAAAAATTATTAAGAAATGCGTGCATTGTTTTCACTTCTTTCAATTTGTTGCACTGATCAGCAATGTGTTGTTGTAATTTGAAAAGTGAAATTGTTCTTAATCAGTCAGTTAATTTAATTAATTTAATTTAATTTATTTATTTGCATTTAATATAATTTTAAAACATAGAGATTTATTATTTTATTTGTTTATTTTTGTTCGCTTTTTCTGATGCCGTTTCATTGGTCTGCCGCATTGCTAATTTTGTAATTAAATCCTAAACTACTGTAAGGGGAAATCGTTCTTACTTATTGCTGTATTCGCGCATGTCGTGAAATGCGTAGCAGTAATTACTTTTCGAACGCACTGTATGTCTAGAATATTAGCTAGGGCTTTGCAATATTTTTCTGCAATTTTTCTCGAAATTTCCTCCTTTTTATATGAATTACATAAAAGGTTATGTATTGTACAATTGCTTGTAACTTATGCTGGTATATATGAGAATATGTATTCCTAGCTGTGTTTTACAGTAATATTTGGAACACAGTATTAATCTTCATTTTGAATGCAAAACAGGAGCTGTGCGATGAGCCACGACTCTTTGTGGAAGGTGCTACAAGGTTCGACGTCGTTCAAGGTGAACTCGGTAAGCTAGTTTTGAAATTATACAATACGTATAATTACAGTAATTATATTTCTTGATTTAATTTAGCAAATAAATGAGATTAATTAACTCTATAATTTTATTTGGCTCGCGTTCCAAAAACTTTTTGTCAATTTGAGTGAGGATGTCCTTTTGTACTTCAAAAACTCCACAGGGACTCAGAAATCACGCGCAGCAATAACATTGACGCCGAAGAGCTGGCATAAGAACTCAATGTGTTTTATTATTGGAATCGACTTTGGAAAGAAATTCCCACTTTTCAAGTGGTGGTCCTTCCCTCTCCTTAGTTGTCGTATAATAATGCCATATTGTTGCTGTGCCGTTCAAGGGATGGCTAAGCTTTTATAGGACATAACAGCCTTATGTACAGAAAATGCTGTTTCAGGATAAAAATTGCGGAACAGAAATGTTCGGGAATTACTTAATAGTTATCCATTTTATTTTATGCGCAAAGAAAGCTCCTTTCACCCCTTCCCCGATTTTTGAATCTAACGCGTGCTTTCTGAGGCAATCTTATTCGCAGAAGTAATGATTCCTTTTAAATCAACGCCATTTGCTCCCCCCCTTCTCTCACAAATTAACGTTACGCACAGAGAAAACCACTAAAACATTCATGCAGCTAATCCGTTCACCAGAATTTATCATTTATCTGGGCATTTCTATATTTTTTCCATCTCTAACGTAAATACAAATCAATTTCCTTTAGAAAAATCTTCCCTGAAAAAAGGCATCTCTTCTCTGAAACATATAGTAACGTTAACTGTACAGTGTGTTTTATTCCCTCTAGCTCTTTAAGAAAGACATTTCTGCCTAGCTTTACATTTTTTGCCAGATATTTTTGAACCACACCGTGTATGGATAGATACATATGGTGATAATAATATACTTATATGGAGATTCATATGATAATAATTTAACTTTTTTTATTGTACGTAACTATATCTTTATTCAAAATCTTATATAGGAGCATTTTGTGTACATTTCATTAGATTCCGGGGGAATTTCTTCTTCAATTAAGATTTTTTGAAATTCTGATTTTCTTGTTTGCGTGATTGTTTTTTAATTAAACACTGTATCTGTATAAAACTACCAGTTATTGTGATTCTGTCGTAAGAACTTTTAGATCTATAATTAAATTTTGAAATCGTAAAAAAAATTGTGATTTCATTATTTTTTGTAGTTTCAGTTTATAATGATGATATGTGCAATCCTCTTTAAATGTCTAATTATAAATACCTAAAAAGTATATTTAAAAATTTTAATATTCGCGCCTTCGCGTGATCTTTTCTTTTTTTTCGGGAAGGCGAGGAGCAATCACATTTTTTTCACGTAAAACCAGAGTTGAGAATTAGTAGTTATTATTAAGAAAATAATGCGCATTTACATGAATTTCAGTTAAGATTTCTCAAAACTATAATTTTGATACTACGCACCGTTTCTCTGAAAGTGCTGGTCTAAATTTAAAAAAAAAATTTGATTAGTTGTATAAATTCCATGTGAGTATAAAGTGACCAACTATTATACTTCTGGCATGAAAATCTTAGAAATCACTTTTAAATTTATTTAAAAAAAAAAAAAAAATCTGAAGGGTTTCTGATTTTAACACTTCCCCAAAAGGGTTTGTTAAGTTTTCTTTATGCCGTCGCTGAGCTGGCAGTCTACCAGATATCTCTTGCTGATCCATTTCTTTTGCCATTTTAGCTTTATTATTAAGCGTCAACTGTAAAATTACAGACATTTTAAAAACAGCACAGCGGTATATGTTTACAATTCTCGATTCAGTGTTAAGTGTTCTCAGAAAAAGCAATTTTTTTTTTTTTTTTTTTTTTTTTTTTTTTTTTTTTGTCTTTTAATTATTAACGTTTTGCATGTTAACTTTATTAAATATTACCTTCTCCGAACTTGAGCCATATAAAATTCAATTCAACAGCAAAAATTTAAAAAATATTTAAGAGCAGAGTATCTTTAGAATTTCCGACCGGCAGTCACAGACGCTGGAGATAAAAATGTTTTATTCAGTACAGTGTTGCTACTGCTCGCTTTGAAACTGTTGAGTTTGTTAATCAAAAATTGATTAAAATTTTATAAAATTTCGAAATTAAAAATTTGGGCTTCCATGTGCACATGCTCGAGTGGAGAACTACGTTATTCAAAATTTAACAGCCCTAGGTACCGTCGCTTTTTCGCAGTGCGAGAAACACTTACACACATGCAGATTCTTCACAGTTATTTCAAATACATTATTCTTCTAATTTAGAAGGGAAAACAGCTAACAGCAGTAATTTGTTTATCCGTAATGTAGCGTGCAGTGCATATTATAATTTTATATCGATGATGAAAATGGTATTTTTGAAAAAAAAATATGTAAAGTATTTTAATATCTGGGGCATAAAGTAAATGAGCAAATGTATTGTCAAGGCTATCGGATAAATTACACAACGTTTCACGATCATAAGCCAGTTAAGTTTGTAGACACATTAGATTATTTCGAAGCAGGTGACATGAAAATTGTGCAATGCTTTCGCCGGGACTCGAATCTCAGACCTCTCGAATACGCACCGAATGTGCTGAACACTACACCCGAAGAATGCTAAGAAAGCTGGAGAAATACCTTATACAATTCCTTTTAAAGGGTGACTGGGGATTAGGGGAACCAATCGCCAAATCCTAGTGGTGGAGAATCATCATCCACCACTTTTTGTTTTAGTTCGGGAGCCACTGTAAAGACATTAGGGTATTTCGAAGCGGCAGACGCGAAAAAATGAGCAATGCTCTCGCCGGGACTCGAACCACGGACCTCTCGAATACTCGCTGAGCGTGCTGACCACTACACCACGAAGGTATGCTAAGAAGGCGTTAGAAAAATCTTCTAAGTTTATTTTAAAAAGAAAAGGATCTTAAATACGTTATAGTTTTTGTTATAGTTTGACATTTTAAGAGCATTTGACCCTTCAAGATTTTACAATGCAAGGGCAATAATTTTATTATTGATGTGTGCAAGTAAAAATGTGCTTTAATGTGCCATCACGAGATGATCCTTTTTTTCTGAAGGGGGGCGGGCAATCACATTTTTTTACGTGAAATCAGAATTGAGAATTGCTTCATTTTCGCAGTTTTTGTTTAATGCAGCCGTACAATTCAGATTTTCTTATATGAAATCCTCTTCTTGCACCAATTCTCTTGGTTTTTCGGATTAATTTCTGACTAATCTTACTTCCTAGTACACCTTGATACTCTCTGCGCCGTATTCAAATTTCATCTCCTAGCAATCTATTAAAAAACAATATACGGTAAGAAAGAAACATTTTTTTTTTTTTTTTTTTTTTTTTTTTTTTTTTTTTTTTTACTGACAGCTAGTTTATTCAGATTATTAAAAATTCATGAATATCGCGCTTTTTTATTTCACGGGTATTTATGTAAAACTTTAAAGAACACAAACTGTCATTGCGTATTTGCATCCTTTCTATTATAAAGAACATGTCCCTGTTCGTGAGAAGGAAGGAATATCTTAATAAATATTACATAACATTTTAAGTTTTTCTGAAAATCTTTGCTAATATTATGTAACATTAACAAAAATTTTCAGAAATTTAAAAGTGATATCTGTATTTTTATGAAATAAAGTATAAAGACAAAGCTGCTCCTTTAAAAACTTAATAAAAGCCAAAAAAATTTTAATAAAAATTTGTTAAAAGACGAAAAGGAAAAAAAAAAAAAAAACTTGGAGGTGCGGGGGATCGAACCCCGGGCCTTTCACATGCAAAGCGAACGCTCTACCACTGAGCTACACCCCCTTCGCTTTCACTTTCCTCTGGTAGGAATTTTTACCCTGTTGACCTACTTTGTGACGTGTTTCCTGGCGGAAGAAAAGAATAACTGGCACACTTTTCGTTTCTGTAAGGCGGGAAGAAAACATTACATGCCATATGACGTTAGCAATTAAAACTTCTGCTTTACGAGTTGATTTTTCATCTCTGTTAAAAGCTTGACACAAATCTCTATAACTCTTAAGTATATCTGAGTGATGTGCTTAGATGAAACTTAAACTTGCTTTTCCAATTCCCCCCCCCCAACATTATTTTTTCCCTTCTTTTTTCATGTAATCTTTTCAAAGTATTGTTGTAATTTTTGGTGTCTGTGACTCCGTAAAGTGCGAAAAAGAATAATTTTTTCTCAGTTTTAAAACAAGAAGCGACCTTTTTGTTAATTGCATTCTTAGCTGAAGGGAGCGAAGAGGAAAATTTTCTTTATTTTATTCAGTTTTTTTTTAAATGATATATTTTCAAAATTTATTTGACATCTAGTAATAAGTTGTAATCAGTTTGTTTAAAATGAAATGAGGCTTCATTATTTTTGCTGGTAACTTCAGTGGAATTTATTTCGTTTCAGCTCTACTATTTTTCTTATGGATTCATATCATCTTCTTAAATATGCACGAAAGCGGTATATATTGTATGAAATAATTAACAAGTTAATTAAATAAATAAAGTCGGTTTGTTCACCATATGCAATCTAGCATTTCATTTCCAATCCCAGTGCAGCGCTGAACATTAGTAGTTTGAGTTCAAATCCCGACGAACTGACTGAGTGGGAGTTCCGGTGGATTTCCCCATGTGTAACGTGAAAACAAGGAAGTTTCCCTCAGGAAGTCCTCCGTGAAGGCATCCTGCCCCGTAGACAGATAGCCCGCGCCTTAATCTAAATGATCTAATCCAATCTCAATGCCTTACTCTGAGCACCACTCTTGCTACTTCACCTTTATCATCATCATCATCGTCTTCACGAGCACTCCTCATCTCGTGAGTAATTACATAAATAATATCTTGGTCGGATCAAATTTTACAGGCTTCATCATTCGTCTTTTTATACAGACAATCTTCCGGCCTTTCTTGATTTAAATTTTAAAAAACTTAACTATGAGATGTACTTATTTCAGTTAATCAGTTATCAGTTATCAGATATACACTTTTCAGATCCTGTTAATCGTAGGCATCTTTCTTCATCATTCTTTCTTTCTTATTTACAACTGTTTTTGTTTGTAATAATTTCTGGATTAACGTTAAGCTTTAAATTTATTTCAGGCTTTAGCAATGGGATTTAATGAATCGAAAATCGTGTTTTCAAAAATTCAAGTTTTTCATTTTCGAATATCCAGCGTGGAAACTTTATTTTCAGACTGAAAAACGAATTAAGTGTGATGTTAAAATAGTGAATTTAGGTATTGATGTACATTTTAGTATCGAAATTGATTACCCCCCCCTCCTTACAAGGCACCTTTTTCAATTTTTCAATTTATATAAAATGAATTGTAGGAAATATTTTACATTATTATTCATTGAATCCTAACAATTATTATTTTCTACAATGCTGAAGCATTTTGTTTTAGAAAAATTAATGCTTTTTATTCCTACTGTAAAGACTATTGCACAATATTTTAATTTCAATTTAATAAAAAATGCGAAAATACTTTCTTTTAGTGTTATCTTTATGTTTCCTATTCATCATCTTGCTTAACTTCCTACACTTTTTTATGTGCCTTTCAATAACTATAACAGAAAAAATAATACGTAGAAACCTTCCAAATAATAAAACATTATTGCAATTATTGATGATTTAGTATTTCCTTAGGTGATTGCTGGCTGCTTGCTGCTGTAGCGAACTTAACGTTGAACGATGCCCTTTTCTACAGAGTCGTACCCGACGACCAATCTTTTGTCAAAGATTACGCCGGAGTTTTTCACTTTCGTTTCTGGCAGTACGGCCGATGGGTGGACATTGTGGTGGACGACCGATTACCCACATGTGGTGGCCGCCTGGTTTTCATGCACTCGAAGCACAACAATGAGTTCTGGAGTGCGCTCTTAGAAAAGGCCTACGCTAAGTAAGTTTTGCTTTTAGACTGAATTTTTGTAAAAAATTATTCAAAGGCAGTGTAAAAGAACGTATGTAGTGGAACGTTTAGTAGATGGGAATGGGAAAATTTGCGCTAAGAATTTCCGCTGTCTATGAGTATTTCAAAGGAGTCAATTTTAGTAGCCATTGCAAAGTAGAACGTGGAGAATCGCATGTTTGTCCTCTAATTCTTTGGAAATTACGATTTTATTTTTACTGTCCAAAGTCTTTTCCATCGACAGTTCTATGTTGGGATTTATGAGATGGCTCTTAATCGTAACACATATATCGTATATACATATATCTTGGCATATCGTATCTAATGGCATATCGTTTCAGATTGAAGGGATCGAATTGCTTTTTAGAACTGGATCACTTATGTAAATAAAGAAAATTGTAGATTTTGGAACCAAAGAACCCATGATAATTGCACCAGAAACCTCTCCTTAGCGCAGTTGTGGGATTTCGAATGTAGGGATCGTTTGACTTTTTTTTTAATCTAGAAGAGGTTACGTACAGTGGTTTCAGACTGCCATGCCGGTATGCTTTGCAATTTTTTTGCTTTCACAACTTCGAATTCTATAAGTCAACATAGAAGAAATATATTTTTAACAAGAAGGAGCCACAGCACATACGCAACGGTTACAATGTAGAATGTTCGGAAAATACTTGATTTCACGTCTCGACATCCCTTATTCACCACCTTCACTACTAGATGAAATGAAAGTTGCTATTCACGAAGAAATTGTAACTGTCCCAACAGAAATGGTTGGTAAATACCATCTAAAAATTTTAGAAAAGGTTTCGCATGTGTCCACAAATAATCAAGGTATAGGTATCAAAAAAGCATTTATTAGAGATTGATTTGGTGTTAAAAATAAGATAATTTTTTTTTTTTTTTTTTTTTTTTTTTTGAAATGAGCAAAATTACACTTATTTGAAAAACATGCGTTCTTTTTGCACCACTCTGCCGGATGGTCGAAAATTTTTTACATTACATTGAATATAATTGTTGACACGAAAATTCATCATTGTCAGAAATAATGCGAATTTAATTTCGGATTTAATGCTTAAACAAGCATTTGAATAAATTTTCCTTGCAGACTGCATGGTAGTTACGAAGCCTTGAAGGGTGGAACTGCCTGCGAAGCGATGGAGGACTTCACCGGCGGTGTAACAGAAGTCTACGAATTAAACAAAGCACCCCCAAATTTCTATCGTATTCTTCTAAAGGCCTTTGAAAGGTGGTCTCTCATGAGTTGTTCCATTGAGGTAATTCCTTTGTATGATTTTATTTTTAAAAATATCTTTTTCTTTATACAGGAAGTTTCAGATTGAAGGGGACAAAAGAAAACATACCTGAGAATGCTGTAGTTGTTTTATTTTGATAAATCCAAATTTACAGTGCAATTATAGTTATTCAAGTTTGCAGAGATGTTCTATGTATGCCTCTCCACTGATACGTCAAATATCTATGCGGTATTTTAGTTTCTGCCACAATTCATGATAGAATATCCTTTGTTGATGATTTGGGCACTTCAGTTATCCGCTGCTTCATTTGCTTTAAGTCCTAGAGGAATGGAGGAACGAACACTTTGTCTTTACAAAACCTCATGGGGAAAATCACAAGGGGTTAGATCTGGGGATCTCGTGGCCAACAGAACAATGGCATATCGTTTGACCTAGTACGGCTAATTCAGGGATGGAGTGGATTGCTGTTCAGGTACTGGGGTACGTTTTTACGCCAATATGGTAGTGCACAGTCTTGCTGCAGAATGAAGCTGGGAACAGCTTTCTCTAACTGAGGGAACAGCTATTATTGTAGCATATCTTGGTAAATGCACTCGTTAATCGATTTTTCAGGGGGGGGGGAAGGACCAAAAACACAACTGTTGGAAATGGCGCAGAAAACGTTCACCTTTTGGAGAATCACGCTATTGTTCCATTATACCATGTGGATTTTACGTTCCCCAAAATCTTAATTTATAGCGATTTGCCAGAAACGTGAAAAGTGGATTCATCCGCAAAGCCAAGTCTGTTCACGGAACCATCTACCTCTACCTTATCTTGGAAATTCTCACAGAAAGGGTTTACGCCAAGGTTTTTAATGCCTGCACTATCTGATATGTGTATGGTCGGAATTGGTAGACGTTTCCTTAGCACGTGCTACATCGTTACATGAGGCACACAGATTTCAGAACTCGCACGCTTCGTTGATTTTGTGGGACTTCGTAAAAACGTTTCACGGATTTTTTTTAACCGCTTCGGGTTTGGCTGCTGGTTTTAAGTAGCCCGGTGTCCTGAAACTGCTTCACCACAGTTCGATGTTGTGACGATGTGGTGGTTCTTTCCAAATTTCGTGCGGAAATGTCTATGAACGACGATACACGATGATATTTTGGTGTATGCCAAAACACTGTACGCCTTCTCCTGCATGGATGACGCCGTTTTCATAAACAGTGTCTCTAGCGGCGATTTTGGACCGAAAGCCGATAACCGGAACATTTTTCCCTGTTGCCAGATAAAACTTTTTTAATTATAGTTTCAGAATTAACTTGTTTCGACTTACTAAACCAATAACAGAATTCATGCTGTGCTATTCTTTCGTCGAATTGAATATGAAACATCCTTTATTTAACATTTTCTCTTAACTTAGTACAAAATTGTTTGAAGACGTTCTAAAAACAATTTTACTTTAATGTTACGCAACAGCCACAAATATATTTTTTAATTAATGTTTTGATTGCATAATTGAAATATTCTTTTGGTTTATTTAGTTAAATTGTGCCATAATTGGGGATTTTGCTCGGACTTAAGAGCATTTTTTATCTCCATAGCTGTAGTTCAGGCTTCTAGGACATGGTACTTTTAAAATATACACATATTACCTTGTTTAAATGTAAGAAACTGTGTGCATAAGTATCTTTTTTTAGCATTTTAATTGCCATCTTTATAGTTATTATTTAGCGGCTATGATTTCATCTGAGTAACTGTTAGAACCTCTGTGGAAATACTTTTTTCACAGTGCAAGTTCCTATGCTTATAAGTTACTTCTATTTGACAGTGCAGCATCTGAACGCAGAAATTCACATTACGGTATACTACTAAAACATGATCTTATTTGTTTCTCCATGTGAAATCTTATTACCTTTTTATAATAATGCAACACAATATTTTCATTGCACAGAATAGAATGTTTAGCTTCGCGAAGCAAAATTTATAGGGCGAAGATCGAAATTTTCACTGCATGATGAATAAAAGTGCCTTCCTAACGTCGCAGAAATCATCCATGCGCTCATTTTAAAGATTCATTATATGAAAAATACGTAAATTAGAAGTCTGATCAGTAATAAAAACCTGATGGAAAATGAATATCAATCAGACAGACATCTTTTTGAAAATACATTTTTGTTTTTTCTTTAATTATTTTATTAATATTGCATGAAATTTATAGTCACTTCTGGAAGACTTTGAATATATTTAAGTGAGTGAATTTCCGCAACTTTCTGCAACCTTGCAATGTATTAGCAATATCTTTCCTGTCTAAGAAAAGGATTGTGCACATGAAAGAACAATTATGCCTGTCTTCTGTGTAATTCATTATTTTGCATATCAGACATAAGCAAGAATTTTTAAATGAGACAAATCCTAATTTTTTTTAAGTTCTTCATATAAAAATAACAGGAAAGAAAATAATTTTTTATTATTTGTCAAAAGTTTTTATTTAGAATAAGATCTGAAGTCTGCGTTTAAGGAGAAACAAATTTAAGATATAATTTTTAAATGTAGAAATACTTGTAGTTATTGAAAAAGATACAGATTACATTCAATACATGAAGTATATAACATAAAATCTTCAATTCACTTTCTCAGTATCATGCAAAAAAATATTTCAGTAAGGAATTAAAGATCTTGCATTTCTTTCAAATCTTTTAAAATGACGAGTGCAAATATTATTAGATTTTACAGAGATATACGACCAGTTACGTTCAATTTCTTCAAGTGAATGTTAGTTTGTTTGCTTATGTGCTCATAAATATCTGCACTGTTGAACTCTAACATATTTATTAATAATCTACGAAAAGCTTAATAATCATTAAAAACATTCCTAACAATATCAACAAGAAACTGACAGTCAAATGTTATAAGCACAGAAGCAATATCGAGTTAGCCATTGGGCTTTCAAACGAACTATAGTTGTCTTTATTGTGCGAAAAATAGTTCTTGCTAGCAGCAAGTGTTTTACAGTTCTTTCTAGTAGAGGGCATCCATAGCATTCTTTTTTGTCTGGTGCATTTTACAGATTCTATTAGTCACTCCCTTTTAGTTTTTTTTATTTTTTATTATTATACTTTACGTTCTCTAATTCATTATGGTTGAAAACGATATCAAAGAGTCATTGGCTGATGAGCCCCTGAAATCGAGTGGCTTCATTGACAGACATAGTGCAAAATTGTTTGACAATGCTCGTGAAATTAGCAACTTTTCTGATATTAAGTAGAGACTTTATTGAGGACATTCTTGCTTCCTTAATAACAGAACATATCACCTCACACTTCGTAACAACTCGAATGTTGGGTCTTGGCCTTTATATTGTAAATTGTGAGGGAACTGCAAGTGAATTAATTTCATTTGGTTAATTTTCTGTAGCAGTTGCTTTGCTTGCCGTGTTGAAATGACATGACTTCAAATCGCTGCTGATAGCATAGCAGTTTTTGTCGCAACAGCTTCGAGCATTATACTCAAAAGGGTCGCATGTTCTATTCTGAACCACGGCCACAGCAGCTAAGAACATCCATTTTCACAGTTGTCATCCGTCATCGCTGTTCACAGCTGAGAGTTGTTAATGCCAAACATCAATATTAGCAGCTTTGAGTTGTGCAGAGTAGTAGCAGTTGGTTCTCATTACGAAATAAAGATGGGGCGATGAGATTATCGAGGTCTTAAAACTGGCGGCGGCAACAAACATTTTCCACCCTCTTGCATTGTCTTCAGAAAGTTTAAATTGGGGGCAAGCAGACCGTGCTCCAAGAATCTAACTTTTTTAAATGTTTGAGTTAAAATATTTAAGGGCTATTTAAGTTAGGATTCAAAAGATAAAGAAAAGAGCGAAGATTATAGTTTTTGTATTTGTTTGCGAGATTTGTGGGATTAGATAATTCGAATGTTCCACCCCTAGATCTGACGACTTCTCCGGATAATGTTTACTTCAAACAGTTCGTAAACTTATTATTGAAAAAAAGTAAAAATCTGTGTCTTGTTGTTATGCATTTTACTACTGTAATGTAGTGCATGAGACTGTAACGTTACCAGAAAAGCGGATAGGTTTACCAAAATATATGCTGTTTCTTTTTTTCAGCCGGATCCTGACGTACTTGAAATGGAGATGCCAAATGGGTTGATAAAAGGGCACGCATACAGTATTACAAAAGTTAAGCTGGTAAGTTGTTCCTTATATTTTTTCTTTGAAATGAAAAGTAATGCGTTGAACTCCCGTATGCATGCAAATTATTATCAACGTATCATTTCCCAAAAAGAATGATTTAGACGTTATTTCTGAAGTTGGGAACCTCATTACCAAGGCTTGGAAAAGCTGAATACTGATTAATAGCTGAATAAAATTGATATCGAATATCCTAATGTAAGAAGGCTTTTCTAACGAGGCTAATGTAAGAAGGCTTGGTTGGTTGTAACTTTTGTGGCTCATAACCTTAAGGGTTATTATATGCCAGGCATACGATGAGATTCTGCTAGGAAAAAAGCAAGGCATTAGACCTTTGTAAAGTTTTTTTTTTTTTTTTTTTTTTTTTTTTTTTTTTGTGTGTGTGTGTGTGTATGTGTGTGTGTGTGTCTTTAAGAATCTAGAAATATAACCGAAGAAGCCTAGAATCGTGGATTGAGATAAACAAAGAACAGCAAAGGCCATAAAGTTAAAAATAAGTTTACTTAAGCTGAATGCTTTAACCTTTTTAAACTACGAGCCAATTATCGTGCCTTCTTTACCTTAGAATTCAAGAATACTAAATGATGAAACAGTTGTAAATTCAACCAAAAAGATTATTTTTACTTCGGCTGGAAGTCACAAAACTAACTGTTATTTAAACAGTTAGCGTTATAACTAAAATGTTTATGACAATTTTGCTCCCAACTGCAAATCAAACGCAACTTTTAAGCATAATTACTAGCAAAAATTCAGAACACTGCGAGAGCGATACAACTATACAGTCAGCAAGTGAAGTATGAAAGTTGCTACGATCAGGCCTCTCTAAATTATATTTTTGCTTTAATTGACATTTTTGGTGGACTTGAAGGAAAGATTTATGGTAAAAAATAATGTGTTAATTAAAATAAACCTTACAATGCTATAGGATTTTATTGTAATTCTTAATGCATTGACCCAAGAGAGACCAATAAAAGAGTTGAAAAAAGAAGGAAAGGTTAAACAGCATGGTGATTACAATGGAGTGCTTTAATAAATAGGCTGTGTGACTACTTGGATGAATAAACTGAGTTTCCAATTGAATGATACCACAGCTTTGCGCAGTTGCTTTACTGTGATGGAATGCGAACTTTGCTGTCAAAAAAGGTTTATTGGTTTATTAGATTACGGCAAAGCACTCGAGGGCTATCTGCCTTAAGAGAGGGATGCCTTCGTGGAGGACTTTTAAAAAAAACTGGCTCGTATACACGTTACACATGAGGAAAACCACGAAAACACCCATGCAGCCAGCCCGTTTGCAGGATTCGAACCTCGGACCGAACTACCAGGTGTTCAGCGACATTACCGCTCGGCCGCTGGTGGACCTGTCAAAAAAAGGAGTGCAAAGACTCTGTAGAGTCATTATTTTCGATATCCAGGAAACTGAAGAATGTGCAATGCTCTCGTCGAGGCTCGAACCTGGACCTCTCGAACATGCGCCGAGTGTGCTACCGTTACACCACGAAGGCATACTGCAAGGAGGGAGAAAATGCTTTATAACTCTTTTCAAGTGATAAATTGAAAATATAGGAATTTTATCATTATTTTAATTAAATCCATTTTAAATAGTGCGGTGCATGCTTTTCATATACAGCCTTTGTAGTTTCTATATTACGCTTTCATTAATTATATTTTGACGATACCTTTTCGATTATTCGTGTTTTCCGTTTAGCTGGTCATAGTATTTCAATTAATATAAAAGAGAAAAGTGTCAATTTTGTGGTTAAAACACTTTTTCCCTACGATAACGATGTAAGTTTAGGCAGATATTCGAATCAATTTGATTGATTTCCTTTGTTGTAGTAAGCCTTCACTCGACAGCACAGAAAAAATTAGGCATATCATCATAGAAATTTTTCTATTTCGGTTACTAGATCTGTTACTTATTCATGATACCATTTCGGTGAGAATAACTCACACTGTATTCGCGAAAATCAGTTTGCAGTTCATCAAACTTATTTTCATATCTCAGAATTAAATAACTCGGGATGTCCGCTTAAAATTTCTATCAGTTTTAAATCAACTTTAGAGGTATTTCTTGTAAATGCCATCAAGGATCTTTGGCGGCTTTTCATATACATCCCTGTTTCAAGAGAAAGGATCTGAAAATGCCCAAGATTACAATTAGAATCCTTTCTTGAATTTACAATTATTTAGAAACATTGTTAGTAAATCAAAACGAAATAACAATTAGTTTTATATTTATTATGCAGACGGAATACAAGATTCCTTTTTTGAGATCGTTTTATCAAATTCTGTTTGTATTAGAAATAATGGATCATTCATCTTTGAGACTAACCCAAGATCTCTCTCGCATTAGAAATAAATGTCATATTTCTAGTATGAAATCAAAATTTGTTATCTATATCACGCAAAAATCTCTTCACCTCTCATATTTACATAACGTCTTTATACTTATCTCATTTTGAATATTAACCTTGTCCTTTTTTTTTCCTGACAACTCCAGCAAAGGAAACCAGAATAAAAGTTTGATAAAAATTCATCCATTTAATGAGTTTAATATTTTCTTCTTATTTACAGGTGGAAGTACAGACACCAAGAGTACGAGGCAAAATCCCTTTGTTGCGAGTCAGAAACCCTTGGGGAAATGAATGCGAGTGGAGAGGTGCCTGGAGCGACCGGTTTGTAAACCCTTGCAACTCAAATCATACAGGTTCATTTTAAATACTGAATTCGGAGTCTGTTCATTGTTCGTCGCAATTTACGGTATCCATAACTTGAAATTAAAACTTAAAATCAAAACCTGGAAAAATGTTTTGCTGTATTTTGTTGCATTTCTGAGCTGAAAATTAATTACCGAAGTCAGTTCATGTTCATTTAAGTACACTAAAAATGTCATTAGAAAGTTTCAGAGACTGAAAACATCAATAAAAGAGATAAGCTTTTGTATTAATTGTCGAGTCTCGAGTAGAAAAGTCTTTTACTCGTATGATCCAAAAAATCAGTAATGGTTGTGGAGATAATCATATTTTTCTGGTGCTGAAATATAAATAACCATTTGTGCTCTCGCCAGGATTCGAACCGCGGATTTTCTTTTGCCAGGTAAACGTACTAATTATTTACACCGAAGAGCACACCCGAAGAAAATGTGATAATTCTGTACGAGGTTATGTGTAAGTTGTACATTTTTTAAAAGAGCTATTAATGTATGTCTGGAAGACATCTTCAATATTTTTATATTTATAAATTTGTATGCATAACGATACACGTTATTGAAAATAATCCAAGAAAATCAAATATAAGTATCAATCCAGAGACAGGCAAACAGGTATACGATCTAAGCGATGAAAAAAGCAGAAGCTGAATCTAATGTGTTACAATTACGCTTATTCTAGAGTCTAATGGTACTTAGACTGGTATTAATAATATAATTTTCATTGCACATTTCTTTTAACTTACGTCAAAGATAGAGTACCAAATTTGTAAATCAGACTAACCGCGTATTCTTAAGAGAAGCAGTAAACGATTTGCATAATTTTAAAATGGTCATAGAAAAATCTCTAACGCGTTTGATTATGGGAGCAATGGATCATGCGATGAAAAAATCTGATGTCATCTTTATTTTGAAGAAATCATGTAATGAAGTCTTAACAGATTTGAAACTATTTGCGAACATATCGGTCGTCAAATTCTGTTTAGTGTTTCAGTGAAAATAATGAAATGAAATTTACATATATTTGATTTGTGCATGCTTTGAATTCCCAGGAATAGTTGTCTGCATGGGCTTTTCCCTGATTTCCTTTAAAATAACGTAAGTATGATACAGAGTCCCTTATGAAATTCCATAAGATATACCTCCTTAGACAAATACCTTAATTTAAATCAACCAGCTTTATTTGCATAAACTGTGAAGGCTGCAATCATGCATGAAGAAATTAGATTCGTAGTTTTCAAAGCTTTCTAAACTCATTCTTTGATTAATTTGGATCAAGAAAATTAATCCTCTTGATATTATTTGAAATACACGTTCTCTATTTTGACATAAAATACAGTATTATCATTAGTGTACTCTTTTGTTCAAAACGTTCCTGCGAATGCCATGTCACAAAGATAAATTTTGGGGGTAATTGAATTTAGGTGTCGGTGAACGTTACGTAGTTGTTGCTTCAAATTGTTGGGCATTTGTAGCTTAATGCATTAATCTGGAATGGCCAATATACAGCAGTTATTTAGCCATCTCATGGTCAAGAACATTGCTCAAGGGTCATCAAAGGATGCGGCCGATTCTTCAGTCTCGAGAAGGAGGACATTCTATCACAGTTTTGATGGAAAATACTCCAGGGAACAGATCTGAGGGTCTCCTTTTCCTCTCATTCTATGTAGAAGAAATTATGAAGTGATATCGTCTAGAACAATGTGGTTTGTTTTATGGTAAAAACGGAGTTAAAGCATAATTTGCTCATGCAGCACAATATGTAAATTTGCTCAAAGAGCTTTAAAGCGAAAAGGCTTGAGTTTCTTCGAGCAGAAGCAGAATTCTCTCATATCCTTAATCATCTTATTTACTCAATTTCACGCCACTGATTCATTAACTAGAAAGGCAATATTTTCAATCTGGGATAAACAGTAAGAAGTATTTTACCAGTGCTTCGAAGAACATCAGGAGGACTGGTACAGATGTATGCGGTCCGATGGGATCGTACATCATTTTAGACGAATCTGTAATCATTTTAGACGTTTCGAATAGAAAGATCTTACAAGGATATTCCATAAACATTTTTGTAAACATAAAAGTACACAACTTGCTGTGCACAAGAATTTCATTTGAGTGCATTTGGTTTGAATTAATTGATTATTGATGTAGATTTGCTGATACAGAGAAATACTACATAATAATTCTTTCCCAATGGCGGGTGCTTGCCTATGCCGCATAGGCCACTCCTAATGCCAGATGTGGTGGTCTCTTTATTATGGAGGCACCTAATAGGTGTTCCACCTTTGCCTCCTATGAAGGTACAGACAATTTAGGACAGACATGTAGGGACATGCACGCCTTCTCCGGGACTCGAACGCGGGCCCTTAGGTATCGCAGTCAGGGTCCCCTAACCACTCTTCCGTCTGGGAGACATCCACATAATCATAGTGGAACATATTTTTCCTGAATATGTGAAAGTACATTAAAGGCCGGGTACAAAACCTTTAAAATTTTTTTTATATTAACACCCCGCATATTTTTTTATATTAACATGTGAATTCCAATAAAAAACCTAATTCCTTCATGTTATAGAAATTTATATTTTGTTTTACTTCTTCATAGATGGATTTTGAGAGCAATTTAACATAAGTTTTGAAATTTGCGAATTCAGTTTTCCTCATTCTGTGTAAATTTAAGACAGTGTTGACAAGTTTTTCAATTACTCGAGATGAAAAATAAGCATGTTAATGCGTTAATTCAGCGAGTAATGGTTTCGTCGGAACGATATAACAGTGCCAGAGAAAGCATGAAATAAGAATTCTGTGGGACAGCAACTTCGTTGCCCACAAAAGACATAAATATATCAATGCTTGATCTCGAAGCACGCTTTTAGCTCGAAATTCGCTAGTTGTCGCGGCACAGATACAGAGGAAACAGGATCAGGTTTCACTTGCAACAAAATAATTATGATATGAACTTTCTCTTGTGACTTTAGATTGGAAAACAATTATCTGCGTATTCTGCACTAATTTTTAATACTATATAATTCCTGTTCAGTGCTGGTTTCCTAAAAGTAGACACTTGTGAGTATTTACATTGATAAAAAAGCTTCAGAACGTTCATCAGCCTGTTGCGAAGACATTTATACATACAGGATAGATAAAAAATCATCAGACATTTTAAAAACCCATAAAAAATGAATGAGTAAAGATGCAGTTTCATAAATTAATGTCATGAACTCTTTTTTTAACAGCAAACAAATTTATAAATTCGCCGATAAAGGGCGCTGCTTTGTCATTATTATACCTTTCGGAATCCATTTAACGAAAAAAAGTTTGTTTAATGCCGTAGAATTGGTTCTTTACACGGTATTTTAGATACATGAAGTCCGGCCATCGAGGAAATCAGGCAGTAGGAATGAAGTATTAATTTCCTCTGCGAAAAACTGCTTTACAAGGGCTGCTATATGAAGAGCTGTTTCAAATTTCATAAACATGAATCCGTGTGAGATTTCGGTCCGACGAACTCGGTACCACTTCTTGCGTATAGTTGTTCAAGACAGAATGCATCAGTTACGACTGATGACACTAAACACTGACTTGCGACAAGTCTTAATGGCTCCTCCCCATACTCGAAAGTATTGTTCTTAAGCCCTTTCCGACTTTTCTTTGCATTAAAAATGTGTTTTCCTCTTCGAAGGATGCTCAGAATTGATAGTGTGGATCATTAAAAATTTTTGTAAGCAGGTCGTGTGGCAAATTCTTGCCATTTATGCATATCATTTCATTTTAGCTTGTAGATATACAGTTGCAGCCGCATTCTGCAATATTGGAGCATTGATGAACTTGGTAGACTTATGATTCTTGCAATTTTCAAAGAACTAGAACAAGAACAGGGAACTGCTAACATCGTTCCCTGATTGTGCCGATTGCTTCCGCCTGGGCTTCTTTTGGGTTTCCAAGGGATTCGGCTAATGACGGTTTGCCACCGTGACTTCGAATGAGGAATTTTTCCCCATGGTGGGAGGGCAAATTAAATACTTAATAGTGCAAATTCTGCGTAATTGAGCAAGTCTTTGGAATTTAAATTTATTTTCTTAATTGTTCTTGAAAATGTGGAGAGCAGTTCAGCACCGTCTTCGGTGGTTAAGTTATGAATTTTATTTGATTGCTGCCAAAACTGCTCCGAATTCATGAGATGATTTTTGGTGAAAACCGCATCATCCTGTGACTAATCGTTTTTATTTAACCTTCCGAGCGTTACGGGCTTAGCCCTATGAGAAAATCTGTGGAATTTAAGTTTCTCTCGTTAAATGTTCTCGAAAGTGTAGGGTGCCAGTTCAGAACTGTCTATCGGTGATTATGTTATATATTTGATTTGGTTGCCGCCAAAAACGCTCCGAATTCATCAGATGATTTTTGGTGGAAACCCCATCCTCCTGTGATGAATCATTTATAATTAAAAAATTTTAAAAAGTCTAGTGAGTTTTGCACATCCTGTACATGATTTTATGATGACTACGATTTTCTAGAGCTTTCTGTGCTAAAGCGCTTCAAGAAACAATCTTTGCGATTAGTATAAAGATCTTAAAATGTCTTGTTAATTATTTTAAATGCTAGATAAAGGAGGCATTGTTGACGTTGTAAGTAATACTTAGTTTATTATTTTATTTACATGAAAAGCTGTTTGATTAAATTTCTGACTTCAGTTAATATGGAATTTGAGCTAATGTTGCGGTTAACGTAATTATCATTAATCATGAAAATCAGTAATATTTGTGGTTAAGTTGCAGTGGCAACTTCCAGCTGTTAAAGTTGCTTCATTTGTTTCAGATCTCAAGAGTGGTCGCTTATCAGCCCAGAGGAAAAGGAAGAGCTGGGGTTAAGGTTTGATGCAGATGGTGAATTTTGGTAAGTGTTCACATTGCTGTGTATTGCTATGCCTTTAAGAAGAAATAAAGATTAAAAAAATAATTCTGGATTCTGTACCAAGGCACGTAATATATTGCATTATAATAAGAAAAAGAATGCATAAGAAAACATCTATTATCAGACACAGCTATACAAATCTTCATAAAAATCATATTGTATATACTGTAAATTAGAAATATGTGATGTTACATCAATTACATTATTATTAAAAGGTATAAAATTAAATTTTAACGAGTTTATTGCTTTTAGATTATCCATTTTGTTAGGCAGTTTCATATAGACTGCGAAAGACAAATTAAAAATATATGTGTTGTGCAATAGAAATACTGTCGTAATATCATGAATAGCATAATACAACTTAGCATACTAAAAATTTTGGAAAGGCGCTGCTAACGAAATTTTAAAAGATACGTAATGAAGCTAAGAAATAAGTTTCCCTGTTGTTTATTCATATTGTTGCGTGCGTACGAGTTCGCAACAGATTGAATGCACAAGTCCGATAATAGGTTAATAAAATTTATTTTTATCCAAAGAAATGCATCAGAACGCTGCAATTTTCCTCAGAGATATTCGTAAAAGTATTTACAATATCGTGCGGTATAGCAGTAGTTATATTTCAAACTACCAAAAACGTTAAAATACAACGCAATGCAAAGACGTATCTAAAGAGAAAGTTTATTCAGATATCTCAGTTCACGCGGAACTAAACAACTCTCAAGAACAATAACTAAGCAACTGGCACTGAGACGCTATCTCTTTCTCTCTGGCCTTTTACAGTTTTCAACCTGTCGCGAGATAATTCTAGTACTTTCTGTTTCTCGAAATTACTGGAAAGCAATACGAGGGCGGAATTATGGTTACAGCTAACATAGTGGTCAAATACATTTATTCAATTTGAATACAAATTACTGAAATATGCTTTTACTCAATGTTAAATAAACGCTCATAATAAATAATAATAAATGAAATAATAATAAATAATAATAAACGCGCATAAAATATAATAATGTGCTCCTGTATTCTTACTTTTTCGGCATAGCTTTCTCTTAAAATTTGTCTCGCGCCGTATTGCGCGGAGAAATACAATAATTTTAATTATAACTTTACTAAAATTATCTATCTAAATACAAAATTCGCAACACTATTAATAAACTGCAATTTCTATGAGTGAAGTAGATTGTAGTCATTAATACCTGGCAACTTAATCTTCAGTTCTACTTATATCGAACATTTATTACGAAAATAAAACGCCTCATTAACCTCTTAACGCGCTAGCATGACCAGACTTTAATATTGCACTTACCGTGGAAAAAGAAAGGTAGCCCATTTTGGTTGGACTTCTACCTGTTGGTCCGCGAAAGATATTTTATTTACCTTGTACCACCCAGTAGGAACCACTGCAGGTGTTCCCCTATCCGCCACCTGGGAACGCGTCCTCTAGGGTTTACAGGTCCCCCGAGGAACACTAACTGTTTTAAAACACATAAATTGTAAATTAAAAATAAAAATTCTTTTCTTTTTGAAAATTAGAATTAAAAGTATGAAGGTTTTTAATTTTAGCGCAATTACTAAAGTGAAGAAGAAAGATGTGGTCTTCAAAGGATCTTTTTTCAAAAGTGATTTCGGAATGAAACGGCAACTAGCATAGCTAACCACCGTTCGAAAGCAGGTGAAGAGAAAATCATTATAACTTAAAAGTATTTAGTCTTTCAGCCTTTTGTTCATGTGATATCTCCATTTCCAGTGATGTAGGGATGATTGTTTTTAAAGTACTCATAGTACTGATGATTGTTTTTAAGTCCTAAAAATAATAAAAGAAGGTATATTTGATGTTCAATGTGCAACCTGCTTTTCTGTTAATCAGAAGAGGCTATACAACGCGGCGTACTCATATAATCCTACTTAATAATGCATAGATGTATGATTAAGTTGCAATTTCATCTTTAGGTAGAATAGAGATGTTTTAACTTAATATAATTCAAAGGCTGAGAACGGTCTATCCTCTGGCTACAGTCTCCACTCCACTGCTGAAGTTGGCCAACCAACGGGATACGGTAAGCCTTGAGGGTGCTTTGTTCCGGCACACCGACACCATTGCGAGGAGGGAACTCACTAGCCCTTTCTTCCATAGGAACTTTGCTGTCCAACGCTGGCCGTGATAATCACCTTCCATCATTGCTGTCCACGCTCTCAATGACGACTACGAAAGGGACGGACGCTGACTTATATCGTTCGCTTGCGGCCAACTCCATCTATGTATTCTGAGTAGCTCACGCCCTCTTGTGTCTATTGCACCTGTTTTCCCTTCGCGTAGTGTAATAGTTTCGTTGTGAGAGCCGTTTGGTCAGTCATTTCTGTACAATCCAAGTATAATGCTTAGCGAAAACTGAGAGCTAACTCGAATGCCTGGGTGTGAAATCGACTTGCGACTAAAATTTAATTGTATATGTTTTCCTTTTTTCCTCGCGGGTGCAGTGTCAGTCTACTCCTTGTAATGCCTCCTGAGCAACATTTCCGGTGATGAGATGGCTAAACAATCAATGCCTTCAGCAAGTGTCCCGCAATTAGGAAAAAAATCTAGAGCTGACAACGACTAAGATGCTTATGCTGTATATTATTATTCACTTTTAGAAGCAATAGAATAGAGTTGAAGACGGAATAGACAGTAATGACTATAAAAGTTATTTCATTCATAGAAACTGTGGACAATTATCGGGGAAATATTTAAAATTATTTTCTTAGCTATATTATTATTATTATTATTATTATTATTATTATTATTATTATTTTGACGGAACTATCTCTTTAGTAGTATCTTTTTCAAATTCCTTGACACGATATTGTTATACTCTTTTTTACATTTAAAAACATTTTTTACAAGAACTGAATTACGTACAGTGATCTCATTAAGAAACTTAATGGATTGCACCTTAGATTTTGTCTCAGCCCTTCTGTACTGCTTCGGACCACAATCCAGCTTTAATCCTGAAGAAGCATGATCTTTTTTTATAAATTAGAAGTCAAACAACAAAAATCAGCCTTATATTTGCAAAATTTTCGCTGTGAAAATTTGCAAATATAACGCTGATTTTGTTTCACTTCTAAATTAATATTTGTTCGGCGTGCCATTTTAACTTGAATCATTTTTTCAACTCCGGCAATATAAATTACTAGTGAACTACTGCCAAGTCGAAATTTATAAGTTCTATATGCACCTGAAAAGAAAATGCATAAAAACATTTCAATATGAATGAAATCAGTTCATTCTTTCCAAGCAAAAAACAATTCGTAAATATTTTTTTGTTGCCAAAACAAAAACTATTCGCACTTCACGTTAATACGTATACGTATGGCGTCATTACTTAAATTTAATGAGAACTTTTTCTCAATATCAATAAAAGGATTAATGTGCCAATTACATACCGGGTCAATTATCCTAACCAGAAACAAAAAAGTTGCCAATAGCAGCTATTTATTTAAAATGCTGACATTAACAAAAAATTTTCGACAAACAATGACGTCACATACAATCTCGTGCTTTCTTCAACGTCAGAGTATGTCTGCATATAACAATAATATATTTAATGTTGTACAATGCTATTTTTATTTCATTTTTTGTAAAACTTACAATTTTTTTTTTTTATTAACAAATTCTACGGTTTGAAAGCGAGCAGTGGCAACACTTTTCGAAGTAAATCAGATTTTTGTCTCCAGTGTGTGAGACTTTTGTTACTCGTAAAAATGGGTGCTAAAACGAGCGTTTTCAGAGTTTTTAATTAATATCTCAGATGATTAAAATCGTACTAAGATGAGAATTGTCGAAATGGTTTCCTACGAAATTTTGGAATTCAGGGGTAGTTCTCTCGAAACTCAACTCCCCGCCGTTTCTGAGGAGATGATGTCACAAACAAGCAAGCAAACAAACAGACAGCCCACGCACAGATTGTAATACTTGCAGTACAGACTAGCGAGCAAGGCCGCCAGTTGAGTGGGTTGCGGACAAAGAAAAACTTAATTTGTTCTATATTACCTGAAAAAAGAATGTGTGACATTTCAATATGACTGAAATCAGTTCAGTTCTTCCAAGCAAAAACCATTTCGTAAATAATTTTTCTTAAATAAATTGTTGAGCAGCTGGTAATACAACAAAGAGATCTAAAGATCGTATTTCAAAACCTGGCTTTGATTAAGATGTTTCTAACTCTTCTTCTTATAAATATTTTAATTTAAACAAATTTATTCTCTTAGGAGATTAAATTTCTTTTTGCAGATTAGGAGATGATACAATTGACGACTCGAATGAGAGATTTTGAGTATTTAGGTCTGTACTACTCCCAACTTAATTACTTAATTTTTGTTTCGCATTTTTTCAGGTGCTGTTATATATAACGTTTTATTCACACATTTCTGATGTCAGAACGTGTAGAACATTAAAAAAGCTGTTAGCTATACAGTAAAACCTTACAGCTTGGGGTAATATAATCAATAACTCTCCTTATTCTGTAGGATCTCATTTAAAGACTTCATGGATAATTTCCACCGAGTGGAGATTTGCAACTTGAATCCGGATTCCTTGGATGACGAGCCACTCACAAAGCATTCGAAGAAAAAGTGGGAGATGAGCATGTACGAGGGATCATGGGTCAAGAACTGTACAGCAGGCGGATGCAGGAATTTTATAGGTGAGATGCTTCATTTCTAACGGATATAACGGATCTAATATTTTTTCCGATCTTCTATGCCAGCAGCGCCTGAACTAAAATGAAAATTCGTGAAATCTTTGTCGCTTGGGATTTACGTTAACAATTTCGCTTAACATTTTACATTAACAAATCAAGAAAGAATGAAGATATATATATATATATATATATATATATATATATATATATGAGAAAGATAAAACATATGAAAACAAACTTCTAAATTTAATTCACTATAACCTCTTATTTTCTATTTCATTTGGGAACTTCATCTATCTGTCCTAAAAATAGCGCTTAAGTCTAAACTGCTTCATTCAAATTAATCATGCGAACTTACCTAACCGTTAATGCAGATGCCTCTTGACCAATCACCGAATTGTCAACCATAACTAAAAACTGATTCCCTTCTTTCTTTCTATGAACTGATGCGTCACTTTCGCTTAAGCTTTCCTCCTAACCAGAAGCTTTGCTGCTACCTTTTTTGTTCAAGGAATATGTGCTGATCTAACAAAAAATGTAGAGCGCATAAGACGCTCGTCCGTATGTGAACCAAATTCCCGACTTGCTTTTCCTCAATAATAAAGTTATCTTGAATCCGGACATGTTAGCCTTGCCAAGTTTCCTCGCTACTGATCTATTACGCCACCGCCAAGCTCAAATCATTCATTTTATATCATTTCGTGTATATATATATATATATCAAAAACAACGCAATAACACAAATAACTATCATATAACTAAAAAAAAAAATTACATCATATGTTTTTAATAAAAATTTTTGTTATTTATAAAGCAGTTAAATTCTAAAAACGTATTTAATACCGCTACAAGATCACGATCAGTATTTAACTGAATGTTATATAAGTTATACTGTATTGTAAGTCACTAATTTGGATTTTCCCTATGGCACGCAACCAAGTAGAATAAGATACCATCTCAGAAAGGAGAGACCGAGTTGACAGACTAGACGATATTTACCATAAATTCAAAATTTGTATGAATATGTATACAAGGTATTAGTTAATTTAACACATGCACTTATTGATGAAATATATGCTTGCTTAATTCTATATTTATATGATATTTTTAATTTATTTGTTTTAATTTCATATTTTTGGTTTTTACAAAACAAACAGTTCTAAATTTCTTTATGTATATACAGGGTGTCCGTAAATGTTGCGACAAACTTCTGAGGAAGCTAGGGCACATCATAAGGACTAAGAATTGCCCAGAAACGTCATTGTACGCCGCCAGGGGCGGCTGTACAGGAGAGTGCTAGTGGAAAGTGAGGATTGCTCATTCGAGCGATGGGCACCATACGAACAGCATAGAAGACTATACGAACGGAGAGCTTGCAGGCACGCACTTATTGTATGAATAGCTGAGGGTAATGGACGAGCCGCTGCACGCATTTATCGAAAACACTTCCGCGACAGACATCAACCATACCACAGCTTGTTTGTACGTCTGCATCAAAATTTGTGCGACTATGGTTCATTAAAAAGTGGCAGGACAAGTGAGGGCAAGCCACCATCAATTCGCTCGGTCGTTAGGAAAGAAAGTGTGTTGGATACGGTGGAGAGTAATTCATACGTGCGTATGACCAGCATACGTGCCATTGTTAATTAAGAATGTCTCGTACCAGTGTCTAATGTGTCATTAACGCACAGTCCTTCCACGCCTTCCGTCTCCAAAGGGACGTCCGTTACTACTTCCCCCCATTACTACCCCCAGTTACCGTCCGTTACTGCTCCCCGACGATCATCTTGAACGCGTACATTTCGCACATTGGTTTCTGCAAGAAAGTACCCGTGATGTTAATTCCTCAGCTTATGTGTTGTTCACGGATGAGGACACATTCAGTAGGGATGGCGTATTCAATCACCACAATCAGCATTTGTGTATCCAAGAAAACCCCCATGGTATGCGGCACCACGCGACACAACAACGCTTCAAAGTTAATGTATGTGTGGGGAGAGAGTTTGATTGTCGACTGCTTATTCGGGCCTTACCTTTTACCATCCAGGTTGAATGCCGCGAATTATCTGATCTTTCTGGAGCAGGTTCTTCCTGGCTTGCTTGACGATGTTCAGCAAATGTGAGGCACAACATGTGGTTTCAACATGATGGAGCGACTGCCCATTTTGGACCGGATGTTCGTAGTCATTTGAATAGATCATTTCCGAATCGACGGATTGGGCGTGGTGAACCGGTTCCCTGGCCCCCACACTCACCGGATTTATCGAGCCTAGATTTATTTTTATGGGGAGCCATCAAAAGTGTTGTATATCACGATCCTGTTGTGTCTAAAATGGATCTCGTGGCAAGACTCGCCTGCGCAGCTGCTACAATCAAAGAAACTTCCGGTGTGTTTGAACATGCCTGGCAATCAATTGTCCGTCTGTGTCAGGCATGTTTGGCGTCTGACGGTGCAAATCGAGCATCTGTTGCAATATTCAAGCTGTCGTGCACCATTCAAACTCATGCCCAATAAATATTTCAAATTAATCACGCTCTTGTTTCCTTTCCCATCTTCTAGCTGTGCTACCACTTACCCCTGACATTTCAGGGCGTGGCTTCCTATGCAGTTCTTAATCCTTATATGTGTCCTATCTTCCCTAGAACTTTGGCGCAACATTTACGAGACACCCTGTATATGCTTGCATATGAAATTATATACAAATACTGCTTAAGTTGTGGCAATAATTAGCAACCTGATGCGAGATATATAGTGATGCAATGTTATCCGAAACTCATGGATTCATTCGACATTCGCCCAAGGGGGAAAAAGATGATATTCACTAAAATTCACTACATTTTAGAAAATTTCCTAAAATTCCAGAAAATAATTATGGAAATTCACGTCACGATGAAGTTACTGCCCTAGGGAAGAAATAAAAAATCAAAGGCCTTGTTTTCTTCAGCACGCCCTTGTCATGTACTAGTCAGTATATCAGATCAGTAATATGAAGACTTGACTTGATTCCTGGTGAAATCCAATGAAATCTCCCATGTTCTAAGCTTCAGAAGTCTTTTAATACCTGCACAATATAAAGTTTAAAGGAACATATTTCAACAACATTGCGATTTATTTATCAATTGTATTGAAAATCTTAATTAAATTTAAATTGTATTATACTCGTAGTTCCAACATAAATTGCCATTTTAAAATATACGAATAATCTCTGATACGTATTCAATACTTACAAAAATCCATATACATCAATGTATTTTACATACGCATATCACTTTTATTTAATGCAAATAATTTTCCGCTAATTTATTATGTATTTTATCAAATCATGCGAAACTGTGCTATTAAACAAGCAATGAGCATTTGTCTTGAGTTAAATTGGAAAACCTATTTTAATCTCCGTCGATTCTTTCTCGTATTACATAACTGTCTGCGTCAAAAGGTAAGGAAAACGATTCTCGTGCAGGGTAACATGAATATCTGTCGTTAAATCACGTGTGTTACTCGTGACATCATCAGGTTTGCCTCAGGATTATGAATAGAAACATCTGCCTTAGCTTATTTAGTATGTAGTTGTTAAAAAACAACGTTGATTAACTGCATTCTAATCTTAGTTGTTAACTCATTATCAAATATTCGGATATATTAAAATTTATAACAATGGCGGCTCGTGCCTAAAATTAATGGGGTGCTGTTCCAAAAAAAAATTAACCTTTGTTTTAAAATGGTCTAAAAGGAAACAAACATTTATAAAAAGAAAATTTATTTTGAAACTTCATGAAATCTTACAAGAAAAATATTAAACATTTCTTAATTACTTTAACCAACATTGTTACAATCCAATATTTGTCTATTCATTTAAAAATGAAATCCATTCTTCTTGTTTTAATTTGCGCGAAAAGATCAATAATTTTCTCCTTGATCTCTGGATGACAACTGAGGAAATTTTTCTTTATTGAAAGCCATGCAAACGCATTTAGTCTTTCCGAATTCCTAGCACTTCTTAGAAAAGTTTTCATTCTTTTCAGTGTTGAAAAGCAGCGTTCGGCCTCTGATGTAGTCATGGGAACTCTCAAGAGAATTTTTATCAGTTTCATAATTTCACTAAAAACATCTAGATTATTTTCGATGATAAATTTCAGTAGCTCAATTAATTTGAAGTATTCATAGATATCAGACCTACAAGAGAATACTTTTAGCTTAGTTTTCAAGCTTTTTTTTTTTTTTTTTTTTTTTTGGTCAATCATTGGATATGCTTCAGTGATCAGTACTATTTCTGTAGAATGTTCATTCCTAAAACTAGCGAAGCATTTCTTGTTAAACAATTTAGCAGCTGCTAAGTGTTTAGTGGAAGAATATCTGTGCATTATATCAATACATAGTTATAAAGTCACATATTCCTTAGCTTCTGCCAACAGTGTCTTTCAAAAATTCTCACAGTACTCTGAGTTTCTTAATTCTAAAATAGCAGTTTTGAAATTTGTTATATATTCGTTAACTTTAAACACTAATTTCTCTGGATTGCATTTAGTTGTATATTATTTCAACATGAGGCATCTGATAAAAAAGCTCTAACCAAAACTTGAAATTATCACCATTTAGAAATTTTAAAATTCCTGTTGCTTTTGCAATAGGAACAATTGTTTCATTTGTTGTTGTTGTTTTGCATTTGATGTTGATTGAATTTCAGTAAGGCAATTTTTTAAAGGTGTCAAATTTTCATAAACTCTGTTTATGGTCCGTATGATGAGGTTCCACCTTGTAGTGGAATACCACACGCGTGGAGTAAAAAGAAATCCCGTTTCCAACAACATGCCAGAATTTCGGCACTGCAAGAGCGACAGTGCTATTCTCTCTGCTCGGCTCGCGTGTTTGTGCGCATGCGCAGAACAGCCAAACACCACGTTGCTGGAACTGTGAAGCGCGCAGTTCCTAAGACTTTTGTACCTTTCTCACAAAGTGGGGGATGACTACTGACATTAAACTTAAGGATTATGTATTGCAAAAGTATAAAGAAAGAATTAAAGACTAAAGGCACACTATATTAAATATTAAAAATAATAATAAGAGGAAATAGGCGGTGCTGCAGTTCCACAGTGCTTATTAGGAGCCGCCACTGATTTATAATAAATGACGCAGTGAAAAGATCATTTCGCTTGATTTTTGAACTCAAAGTAGAATTATGAAGAAATAAAATTACAGAAATAGAACGTTTTAAAATTTTGTTGCGAAGAGGATTCATTTGATTATCAGCAGTCACTTGTAGTTTTAGAAATTGTTTTTTCTTCCTGAAAGGAACTATTTACAGAAGAAGCTTCATAGTATTATGTTAATAATATTTTTTTTTTTTATTTCGAGTAACTCTTCTGCTAAGATTAGAATTAATTGAAGAAGGAAATCTCGTAGATTAAACTTTATTTTAATTACTTTCGTTTTTTTATTAATTTAAAGATATTATCTTTAATTATTGGTACTTATGACAATTTTTGTCACTATCAAAACACTTCATAAAAAGAATTCCGGGTAGAATTTCAAATTATTGAACAAATTTAATGGGTGTAGCAGATGCTGACAACTGCATTTTTGTGAAGTAAACTACCGAAATCAGCGATCAGCTGTGCAAAGAAAGTTGGGAGTTGAAATGGGAACTAGTTGAAATGGGAGCGGATAAGTGTTAATGTAAAGACATCTTGGGCGGATGGGGCTATCGGAAACTCGGGCCGTCTAATAGCTTAGACTAGTCAGACTAAGCGCCCCTGAATGAAAGGATGAAATTCTTTAGCTGCAAATGATGTTTTATGCTACTGATATGTCATCTTTCAAAACTTTGTACATAAGTTAATCTCCGCGAATTCTGAGCTAGATATTTCTATGCGTATTTTTTACGAAATTAACCAATTAGTTTTACTTCAAAATTTCTTCTGTGATTGTTCTTCTGTGATTGATTGATTTTGCAACGCAGAGACATTCTGGATGAATCCTCAGTTCCGTATCGTCCTGGAGGATGTCGATGAAGACGACGATGATGACCTATGCACAGTCATCATTGCTCTCATGCAAAAGAACCGTCGCTGCAAGAGGCAGATGGGTCAAGAATGTTTAACGATCGGATTCGCCGTCTATTCGGTAATGCACATTTCTTTTTTTTTAAATCACGTAAGTATTATTTAACAACGGTGTAAACATTTATGTTAATAAAATTTTCATTGAATAACTTCAGGCGAACATACTAACGAATTTTCCACAATTCTGGTGGAAACTAGTAATATTTTTAACTTTCCTTGACTTGTTTGGGGGAGCAAGAATTCCGTCATTAGGGATCGGTTTGGATATTCTTTGAAAAGTTGCGTATTTTCCTCAAAGGTATTATAGGAAGTAATAGCGAATTGAAGCATCATGATAAAAGCTATCTAATTTAAAATTGATTAAGTTCATATTCGGTATAATAGTTTGGATACTTGTACATATAGTTCGATAATTTAGAAAAGAACCTTGTTCTAAAAAGAATTTAGAAAGAACCATGTTTTTAACAGTTCTCGTCTCGTGAGTGGGTGTGAGAGTGGTAGTAAAGAGAGAAAATACATTATATTTTCTTTCAAATTAAGCTTTACATTTTAAACATGAATTAGAGAAACAGAAGTAATTTTCCTTACCTGTAGACATTTATTTGATTTTATTCTCCCAGTGATCAATAGAGTTTTGCAAGTATTTTCTTGCCTGTTAATTAGATTTTAATTCTGAAAAATGAGCAAGAATTTAGCAGATAGTGCACAGGAAACCTGGTATTTTAAAAATCATTATGTAACCGGTAATCTAATATACATGTTAGGAAAATTATTATTCACATTTGAACACAAGAACGTTAATTATTAAATGTCTGCTACACTAATGCCATAACTGAAGAAAATTTTATTTTTTTATCATGAGCAAAAACGGAGCCTTAGCCTTAAATATTTAAGGGGTCAGCCCGTTCATTTTTAGCCAGGGAGCCTATCCATAATGAATAGTTTGCATAGATCCTTTATAATGATGCGAAAACTGTTTGATTACTTTTATTTTTTGTGTGTCTCCATTTTATATTTCCTAGAAATTTACTCTTGGTAGAAATGGTTGAGCGGTTCTGAAATGTGTCTTTCTTGCTAATTAAGATATTAGACGTTTTAATTAATTGCACTTTTTATTTGAATTGTGTCAGCATTTTAATGATTTATTGATAAAAGCGAGGAAAAAATTAAAATGTACAAAAATTTAAACAAAAAATTTTATAATAGGATTATTCAGTTTTTTGAGATGCTTATTTTCTAGCTCAACTTTAACTGGCATGAACTTTGTCTTCAAATTATAAAAGGCATTTATATATGAAGTGAACGTTTCGATTTTAAATTGCCTGATAATACTCAAGAAAATTGGGATACCTGGCGACCATGTTTTCGAACACGGGAATATCAATCTGCGCAGTTATCGATTCCAAATTCTCTAATTGTTTTATGATAGAGACCCAAATACTATTTTTTGAATTCCAAGTGATCAATGATCATGGAATTATACACAGTTTTAATATACTTATCCAATGAGTGATTTTTACGAAAGATAATATGCAACTGTTTCTTGTTCAAATTTTTTCTTGTCTTATAAAATTCTAATAGGATTTTTATGTATCCCGGTTTTATTACCTAAATGATATCACTACATCATTTCGCAATCAAGGCTGTGCACGAAAGTTTTAGAAGCTTGTTTTCTAAATTCTGTGTTCCAAATGTTTGACCAGTTTTAAGCAAGGCCAGCATTTTCTAGGGTTAAATAAAGGCTTTGAAGTTGTGCAAAAAATACCAGTTTGAAAATTCTTTGGACATTGTCATTCATGTAGACGAGTCCACTTCCTGAATTGAGAGCATAAACTAAAAGTTATGAGAATAAATCAGAAGTTTCTAATCATCTTTTAGGAGTAAAACACTCTTATTTGAATCAAAGCTGCTTTCAGTAACTTTTAAATTCAACAAAGCATTTTAATTTGGACCTTGTGGAAGAAGAACATTTTAATTTGCTGAAAGGAAATTAAGACTAACACACTTACCTCTAGCTAATACTAAAGCCATTATGTTTAGGCTATTTGTAATAAAAATCACTTCATTAATAAGATATAAAATTTTTAATTAATGATTCATTAAAAGTCTAGGTTTTTGTTGCTTTTCTTTGTTTTTGTAAAAGAAAAAACATAGCAAGGAGCTACAGGACGATTTTAAAACTGCCTAAAATCCGGAGCTCTAAATCCGGAGCTTGTGGACAGCTAGTAAAGGAATCCTAAATCCGGAGATAGCTAGTAAAGGAACGATGTTTTTCGAAATTGCAGTCTGCGAAAATTAAATACACGAGGACCATGTCTTCTCATGTAAAATGACTGAATTTCTGTCTTTCCAGAATAACTCAAGTTGACACTATGGTTAAGAACATTCCTCTAACGAGTATTATATGTACAAGTTTATATTTTAAATGTTAGGTTCAATGTTTATAACTTGTAAATTCTTGTAACGTTTTCTGCATAGCCATGTAAAGTTCGGGCTTCATTTTTATCAGCCTTCATTTTTATCAGAAGATTTTTATCAGCCTCAAAATTATCCTATGATTCTACATTGTCCTCTTTTTCCTTTGTAACAGCAAAGTGGGCCTCGAAACAAACGCTGCCCATAGCATTCTTCAGTGTTTTGGCCGCTAGAAAATTTCCAAATCAGTCCTCCTTACAATGCTGATAAAGTTTATACCATAACAGATAGACATCACAAAGTACTGTGTAATAAATTTAAAAAAATGATAATCTTTCTAACAAGTCACAAAGATTTGCATAAAAACTTCAAATAAATGTGTGCTGCTTACACCCTAAGATGGAAAATAAAAAAACAGTCATTAACACAAATGATTCTCTATCTCTCTCCACAGCTTAAAAATCCTGAAAAGTTGCCTAAGCCTCTGCCGAAACAGTTTTTCCAATACAATGCATCCGTTGCGAGGTCGAACACATTCATCAATTTACGAGAAGTCAGTTGCCGATTCAAGCTTCCACCGGGGACCTACTGCATCATTCCCTCCACATTCGATTCTGGAGAAGAAGGAGATTTCATTCTCAGGGTCTTCGCGGAAAAAAAGAACGTCATGACGTAAGTACTTCTGTAGCTTAAAAACTTTTTTTCCCTCTCCTGCCCCGAAGTTTCATTTTTATCTCTTTGAGAAGAGATATATAAACTAAGTGGCCATCCTGCGCATTGCGTAAAATTCCAAGGTCTCGTGTCATTTTTGCCTCAGACACATTCATCCCCGGAGCCATTTGAATCAGAACTCTTTCAATTTACACTTCCTTTCATATGAAGCAGTATGGCTTGGAAAGGCGGCTATCGCAAGCATTTTGTTGCACAGTAAGGTTATGTTTTTTGTTCTTTGTTTTATGTATAATTTCAATTTCAAACTGTTTGCCTTTGTGTTTTTCTTTCCTTTCCCTAGACCTTGGAGAGAAATCTTTAAATCTATTTCTTTTCTCCGCCTGCTTTTGTTTTTGCTTTCTTCCGCTGGTCAAAGAAAACCTGTTTGTGAATTTGTGTTCCTTTCTTTCATCTGCATGATTACGATTGACGTCGATTACGCGTAGAAGAGTTTTTTGTGCCTCCTCGCTTTCTTGATTTTTTTTTTTTTTTTTTCTGTTGAGTAAATTAGCATGTGGGCATTTCTAAGAGTTCTTATGACTTGTAAAGTGGAGTCTTACAAATTTATCTGTTTCTGTATTTATTTATTTCTTCGGGGATGAATGGAATGAGATTTTAATATGAGAGAATCTCGCTTCTTTTCGTTATTCTGTATTTAATATAAAAGGTGACTAACAGTAACCGCTACGTAAGAAGTGTCACAAAAATAGTACACCAGTTACAATTGTCGTAACAGATTAGAAAATATTATAATTTTTAATCTAGCTGTTGGTCAGTATTATACTGTTATATTATGCGCCACTCATTAAGAAATATATTTGCCATTGATGAAAAAGATGAGTGTAAAATTGATGCATGAATGCAAAACGCCTTTTCTTTTTAAATAAAATTCTAAACATGGTCTAATTTTGCATGTTTTAAAACAAACTTCCAATATTCTGGAAGTTCTAAAAGTGAACAGCTTTCACATCTGCCATTATTTTCACATAGAGCGTTTTAGTATCATTTATTACTAAAGCTAACTATCAGTATCTCTGGAATTTTCTGCAATATTCATTCTGATTAATAAGCACAGCTGAATGCATGACTTAGTTTCTTTCAATATGCTGGCATAATTCTATATTGCTTTTCATGAACTAACTTGGTTCTCGCTTTATTTGTTTGCATTTCTATTATTTAAAGATTAAACCATTAAACGATAGTTTATGCTCGTGACGTTTTATAAGTTTATGAGCTTTATTTCTTATTAAAGCGAACAACAAATTTTAATTTATTTCCTGTATATCTGAAACATTTACCTATGCAATATGTGATGCTTATGAGGAAAATGGTAATGCCCGAAAGATTAATAAGAATTCTCAAGTTATAGTAAAACATTAAGCCTACAAAACTTAAGTGTTAATGGTGTAATGTCATCAGTGATGGCAAAAGGATAAAATTATAAACTTTAATAATGAATGTGAGAGAAAACTTCTGTCTCTGTCAGCCGATTTCAAATATTTGCGTTTCTACGAAAGAAAAAAATTTGAAGAACAAATCTTCAGAGCATGATATGAGTAAGAATAAAAGAAGCCATTTTTTGTTTAATAGGGTGACATAATTTTGAATGATGAAGTAAGCAAATAGAAAAAGGCTTGCTGTAAATAGTAGTACTAGTAAAATGAAATTTATCGCAGATATTGAGTGCCTAGGAAAGGAAAAATAGTTATCTATTTCAGTCTTCTGTTTCAAAATAAAACTGTATCCTCGATCAATCGAATTCATAAAAGATACGATTAAATCTTCTTCATTACCGTCAAAAAGCGCAGAAGATTTCTTATTACAAAAAAAAAAAAAAAAAAAAAAAAAAAACCTAGACTCGGAAAGACAGTTTTTCAAATCATACTACTTCAGAATGAACCTTTCCCGCATTTTCTTCCGAATTTCAACAGTCCATCCTAGTGAGAATGGAAGGAACCTCACAATAAGCAAAGTGGATAAGACAAGGAACCCAAGTTCTATCGGACAGACTGTCTGTATGCGAATTTTGGGGTTTTCCCCCATGTGTAACTTAAATACAAACCAGTTTTCCTTAGGAAAACCTCCACGAAAGTATCTGTTCTTACATGTAGTCTCTTGCATGTGTTTGTCTTAGTCGCTTAACCAACCAGTCATTTCGAAAAAATTAAAAATTCTAAATTGAAATGTGAAGGAATTTTATAAATAAGAAACAATTTTATAACACATTACTAAATAAAATTAAACCTGATTTTTATTTAGCAATTGCAAATATAACCAAGTGGAAAAATAAGTGATAAAATTTCTAAATGTGCAGAAGTGCTTTCCTTATATCCTTTAGTTAGCAGTTTGCCAAAACCACATTTTAAATGGAAATTGGAAGATGAAAAATTCAATAACTCGTAGTTCTTTATTCACTGTCCAATCCGTCGTTCGTGAAAGATGCTAACCACACCCTCCCTGTGCAGCTGCGATGCCGCTGCGTTGCGCCAACTGAGCAGCTGCATTCATATGGGAGGGAGAGATTCTGTCCATTTCATCTTCTTATCAGGGAGAAACAAATCAACGGGGTTGTAGCATAGTACACTGCTGTTGCTCACATTCATCGATTCTTCAATTACTGCCGTAATGTAAGCTTTGACTTTCCACAGTTTGTTTTATTTGTGTTAGCAGGTTTATTGTATGGCATCCCGTTATTATGATTTGAAGATATCGATCTTGAATTCGCATTTCTTACATACTCCTTGCGCAAAATCATATGTGCTTATTTATTCCGTCTGTATGCTTGATCACATAAGCTTCTCTAGAAAATTTACTTTGAAAGTACAGTATTAGGTTCTGTCGAAAATTTACTTTGAAAGTACAGTGTGTAAGGATCTTAAGTTTTATTAACGTTTATTTCATTTTTAAAACTGGTTTGTCCTCTCTTATTTTCCACTTCCGGCCAGAATAAACGCGTGAATATGTTTACGCAAACTGTACTTGCTAACGCTTAAGTATTTAAGTTGTGGCATTTTGCCAAGAGCAAAGTTAGACGGGGAGAGAGTAAACCTTCTTGCCACTTTACTTCACGCGAGCTTGCAATCAGTTGCTGTCCGCCTTTAAGGCCAGAGGTTTTAGTTCTCTTGAAAGCTAAAGACGTAGCGTAGTTTTCCGCAGTTTGCGTACTACATACTTAATAATTTAAAAGGCCAGTCTTAGTGTTTGTCATTTGTGTAAAGTATTCAAAGTTAACTCTTATTTTAAATTTAGCTCGCTAGTAGTTCTTATATTTTTGCGTTCAGACCACAAGTGGTTGGTCTTTGTATCCCAAAGTGCAGGAGCGCTTGTAATATCGTGGAAAGTAAAGGGTAATTAAACCCTTCTCATCTTGTCGTCTCTTCTACACTCCATAGGATATAGTTTGTTGTCAAACTTACTGTCTAGTCAGGATACGTCATGTTCGCCAAGCAGATAAGGGGTAATACAAGTCCTGATACGTGTTGCATTTCTAACAGCCGAAAGTACTTTGCACCAAAGCATTAGTTTTTGAAAGTTAATATATATATATATATTAGATGTTATCATAAGTTTCTTGTCTAAAATTCAATTTATTATTTTATTGTATTTTACTAATTTATGATAATTTTATTTGGGGTAATATGCAATATTTGTAAACACATCAGAATAGAGTGGTTAAAATGAAATGTTTTCAGACCTATGGATCATTTGTCTTTAGTCTAGAAAATAAATGTATGTATAGCAATGAATGTAGAAAATGAACGTATGGTATATATGTCAAGTCGCATCCGATTTTAAAATTTTCCTTACAGAATAATAAAGGAGCATTTTAAAACTATGAAGATAAATATCAGTTTTTCAGAAATTTTTAGTTTTCCAGAAAATGTTTTATTCTCTTCGAAACATAGAATGAAGTGAAAATTTTCAGCGATGCTTATTAACTGTACTCATAAATTTGTGCGACATTAGAAAATTTATATAGAAAATTAGGCAATAAATCAACATTATACTGGCGTTGGTGTGTTATGGAAGAATTCTAGTTTTCGAAGGAGATAAGCTCAGTCTTCCTCATCTTAGAGAAACAAAATTTTATTCTTTGTATGTTATTGAAATTTAATAAAATTTTGTGAGTACTGGTCTTCGAACTATTGATTGACATACAGATGTTTTATAAATTGCTTCTAATAACGACGTTTTTGCCATTGTTTGAATTTTATGGTTATAGAGACTTATTTCTCAGTCTTTTGTCAGTCTCTTAATAGTTTCTTCTTTTTTGTAATTTTAAGCACGGCTGACTTTAATATGCATCCTTTATTTGAATAACAGTTCATTTTTTTATGTTTAATTTATTGCCTTTATGTTGTCTTGTTGCGCCCCTCCGGTATAATGGTTAGTGACCCTGACTATTATAGTAATGGGCCCGGGTTCGAATCCTGGAGAAAGCATGGTTGCAACTGTCTGTCCCTTTATCGGAGGCAACTATGGCTACCTATTCTTTGTTTTTATAATGAAATGGCCACCACTTTCGGCCCTTGTAGTTGCGCAAGGCTTACAAGTAAAGCGCCCGGCCATTAAAAAAAAAAGTTAACCTTGTTTTGGCATGAAACCAATTCTAAATGAATGGTCTTCAAATTTGTTAACTCAGGAATCCATAAAACTATTTTATCACCTTAGAGGATCCATGAACTATAATATTTTTATTGTTTTTATTGTTATAGAACCCTTATTTTCTCAAATTAAGTAAAAAGTTGAAGAATTTACATGAATATTGGGAAGTGTTATGTAGAAAATTAAAATTACTATTTATTATAATTTTATTTAAAAAAACTTATGTACTTTTTGTTTCACACTACATTAAAGAGAACAATTTTAAAAAAATGTTGTTTACAGTCTTACTTTGAATTTAAGAAGCACTAGGATTTGAAAATTTGTAAATTGGGTAAATAATAAAAATAAAATGATTT